ATGTAAATGATAAAACCGTGAATTTAAAACCCACTGAATATGCCTGAAATAGTAAATCGGCGAAATTTAAACCCAGTGAAAATTAGTCATTTTACAGCATCAGTATTTTTTTATATGTGTTAAGGTCAGTAAAATGCTAAATGATTATTAAAATGACTATTATTTGTGATATGATTTTTACGTAATCTATGTTAGTGATTTTCGCTCATAGTACATTCTTTGATTCAATGTGCAAAAGTTGACGGCAAATAAATTCAATAAACACTTGATAGCTTACATATGAATAACTGGGCAACACATAACGAATAATCGTTTTGCCGAATGAGAATTTTGAATTTGTGATATCAATCCAAACCTTAACACAGTCATCATGGAAATTGTAACGATCTTACACCAGATGGTTGCCATGACAATCTCACTTTTCCAGATCAGACATTTTGATTTCAAATTATTCACCTTCTTTTTCAGTGACTCCTGTTCATCCAGCTCTTTCTTTATCTTGTCTTGTTCCTCTTTTTTACCCTGTTTGAATTTCTCAAAATCATTCTTGGCTTCTTTCAGCTGCTGTTCCAATTGTTTTGTGTTGTGTTCGTGTTGCGATTTTATTGCGTTAACTTGCTTCTCTTTCTCATCAACAGTTTTTTCCAAATTAGTGACTTTAGTTTTCAGCTCCTCCGCTTCAGAATTCTGTTTTTCTCTCTGACCTTAAAAACAATGAATACATGTTTTTACAACAATTATAACAATTCTATCTCTTTTTTTTATACTTTCTTAATATTCTTTGCAACTTTAGTGATATTTTCTTATGATAACTTTCATCCATATTTTTCTTCTAAATCACCAATACTAAATGTCACAGTTACAAAAGCGTAGTTTTAAATTCAAGCTTTACTAGGGAATCATCTCAAATAGCAGTACATGTTATTCAACAGTTAAATTTATTGTACTGTGGAATACTTTATTTTCGCTTGAAATTAATTTTCGCTATTTTCACTGAAGCAATGATTCAGTGAAAATAAAATCCAGCGAATATACCTTTTTCCCGATCTTTTACATTCAACTCGCCAAAAATCAGTGAAAATAAATACCATATAACACACCTAAAAAGTCTTTTCAGTGAAAATAAATTCACAGTATGCATAATCATTAAAATACCATATACTGTAAAATACTTTTAGCTGGAATAAATTTTCGCTGAAAAAACAATTTGGGTGTTTTGTATGGAATTAATTTTCACCGATTTTTGACAACTTGAATGTAAAATAGCGACAATTAATTCCAAGCAAAAATAAAGTATTTTACAGTATTTTGGCTGTATACAAGGGGGTATACACCTCTGTCATGTATAAGCAACACACACAGTCATTTAAGGAGGTCATATGTGCTATTAAGAAGAGCAAAGCCAGAACGCTTGATACAGATTTGTGGTGTGAAACCAAAATAGCATTCCTAACTCATGCCTTTTCTGCTAACTATGAACTGAACTAAGTCAGGCAAGTGAAGAAAAACTACTCCCAGTTCAGAGAGGCAGACTGACGAATGGAATCCATAAAAACTCACCAATAATGAGCAGAAATTAATTGCGATGCTAGCCATAAGTTCGGTTCTAATATTTCTTTTCAATTAATACATACAGTTATATGTATGACAGCGACACCCAATACAAGTCGGCTGCAATTCAAACCTACCTGTCAGCTGTGATATTTTCTGTTTCGCAGACATCAGAAGTTTCTTAGTTTTCTCGTCCTTATCATTCAGCTGCGTCTATAAAGACAAAGTAGAATAGAACAATACTATTAAAATTGTGATACTTGTTGGTTGTGTGTACCCAAACCTGCCTGCTTTTCTTGCAGGTTGTTCCTCACTCTCTAGTGGCTTAGAAAAAAAAATTGTTGCAATCTGAGCAAAAGTATCAATTTTCAGGAAACTTGCGTATTGTCATATGCACACTACAGAAAACACTAACTGAAAAAATCTGACAAACAGACAACATCTTATTTCTACTCTGTTACTATGGAAATAACCGGAAATCATAAAATGCTGTAATTATTGAAAGAATTGAAACACAGGTTTCAAAATGATTAGTTGGAAATATGATATTAAATTTTTTTATTTTACATAATTTATTTCAGAATTTTTGCCATGGCATAATCAATATGCTCCTGTATTGCCTTTTTATTCAAGGTAAAGAATACACTTTTGGTTGATAAAATGTTCATTACAATTGAGCTATCAAATTTCTAACATAAAATATGTTAATTAGCTAATTTGCATATGTCTGAACAACAAAACACTATTTATGAAAACAACTGCAATTGAACATCCAGGATGCTAACTTTTCCTCTATAAATGTACAATACTCAGTCTGACTCAAGTAAATAAAATAACCACTATAATAGGGATTATTCAAGGCACCATGGAAACATACAGACATCGTGCACAGACAATAGAAATACAAAAAGTGATAATTCAATGTGGCTTTTCACTAATTTGTTGAGAGTTTATTGTCTGTGCAAAGCCTCTAAACAGTTATAAACCATCTTCATCTGTAATTATTTCTGTGCGGGTTTTCCCTTAATCATACATCTTTATCAATATGCCTATAGATCTACTGCGTACATCTAAAAATTCTTGAATTTTCAGTTGTCATGACTACAGCAGACTACATGTAATGGAAGTCATCAGTTAACTCACCTTGATAGTTTCTTCAGATTCTTTTACTTTGGTGAGATTCTGAAAACAAAATAAAAGTTATCCACACTTATGAAAGGTTTTTAGATCAAATATGGCTGCCTGTCAGACAAATTTTAACCTGAGTGAGAAGAAATTGGAAATCGTATGTACGAAGTTTGGAAAAACATGGCGTGACTATTACAACCTTGGTCATTGAGCATACAAATTAAATAACAAATGGATGGATGGATGGATAGATACAAACTAACAATGCACAATCGTTTCTTTGCATGGGAAGTGAGTATAAAAGGCCTAAATAACATAAACATTGTGTACAGAAAATAAAAGCTAAAATTTAGGTAGGAACAATTTTGAGAAAAATGGAATAGAACAATAAAGTCATATTTGCATAAAATATATTTTATAATAATATTATTCTCAATGTCCCTTATGGAATACTACAACATGAATTGTATAAAAGTTCCTATAAAATAATAGTACAGCATTATAACGTAGCTTAATTTGGCAAGAAAATTACTAGCCAATCTTAATATCCAATATTAATCTCAATGACCATTATAGAATAAAATAACATAAATTGTATAAAGTTTCCAAATAATAGTGCAGCAATATACACTAAACAAAATACTAGCCAAAAAGGTTAGACAACTACCATGTACTTTTTTTAATTTATACTCGTAACATATAGGTTTACTACACTTATCTTACTGACAGTTCTTAGAAACAGAAGACGACTAACATCTGGTTCTCATTATCAGCAGAATAAATGTCTTCCTTCTTTCCATTTATTTCTACAATTTTTCTCTTTCATTTTATTTTGAAAATTGCTAATTACACCGAAAATTAACTTGACTTAAATTTGAAGATTATCAGAAATAAATTGAGTTAGTATAGCAAATTGAGTTATTGTAACCACAATAGAAGACAATTTTAACAAATAACTTGAAAAAAATATATAGAACATGCCCAAACTGGTTAATATATCAAAGTTGAGGCAGTACTGGCCAAGAAATTTGTCATAAGATGTCCTTGAGTAGAGCTGCAGACACCCGTTGTTAAATGCTAATGGTGAGTAGGAAAGTAGCTTCGTATTAAATTCATAGTCCTTTTTTCTGTCATTATAAAATCAAAAACAGTGTGACTATTGAAATGTTATCTAATTAGTAAAGGGTTAACCACTTGAAATAATGGAGGGAGGTGGAAGTCTGAACAGTGCAATTTTTTTTTGATGTCCAGTCTGTACGTTTTTATTTTCCTTGTGAATGTGCCATTTTTAGTTCTGTTTTTTTTTTCAACAAATCTCCCAGTAACCCTCCTTTGATTTAAAATGGTTGTCACCTAACTTATAATTCTGTGCATCTTTGGCTGGGAAACTTGGCACTTCACTTCAATGCCACAGGCTTCAACATTTTTTTCAATCCCTGTGTGTACAAATTGTGGAAATTCTATCCATCATACCTCATTAAGTTTCTCTATTTCAGTTTTTAATTTCCCCATCTCTTCATTCAACTTCTGAATCTGTTCGTCTTTGGCCTTGACCGAGGCTTCCAGCTCTGCATTAGCCTGCGACGCAGTCGGTTGCTGTGATTGTGGTTCAGCTTGTTTATCATCAGTCTGTTTCTTCAGTTCATCATACCAAGTTTTGTAACGGCGGCCGATCTTTTTAACCTTCAATTTTACAAAGAACAACATGTTATGATTGGACGATGAAAATAAAATCAAATTATCAAAAATTTATATTGTTATAACGCAATGAAAATGACACAAATTAAATTACGATTTATTTTGAGCAAAGATTCACATGTTATTTATATAAGCCCAGAAGTTACTAACTGTAAATCTGTATTAGAAGCTGCCACTATTTAAATGGTCAATGCAACAGAGGGGATGCGACTTCTATTAGAGCATCTACACATAATAAGAAATGATAAATTTTTGGTTTTCAATTGTTCAAAAAAAATGGGTGCGGCTTCTATTAGGGGATGCGGCTTCTAATACAGATTTTACGGTAATAGTCAAATAAGTTTTTTTTTTATTTACTAAATTATACCTGAGCAATATTCTTCTTCATTTCTTCTAAACTTGTATTCTTTGTTTCTACTTCCTTCTTAATTTTTTCCAACTCTTCACTGAAATAGAAAACAAATAAGTCATTGACATGACACAGTCAAGGTGAGAAGTAGTGAACAAAAAGGAAATGGTGTGCTTTGAATCCTTAACGCAGTTTGTATTGGAAAATTAGGAATGAAATTGTTCCTGGCATTTATGGCAGGCCATTTCTGACAACCATATGGACACCAGCAGGCCATTTTTGACAACCATATGGACACCAGCAGGCCATTTTTGACAACAATATGGCCACCAGCAGGCCATTTCTGACAACCATATGAACACCAGCAGGCCATTTTTGACAACAATATGGCCACCAGCAGGCCATTTCTGACAACCATATGGACACCAGCAGGCCATTTTTGACAACAATATGGCCATCAGCAGGCCATTTTTGACAACAATATGACCATCAGCAGGCCATTTTTGACAACAATAAGGACACCAGCAGGCCATTTTTGACAACAATATGGACACCAGAAGGCCATTTTTGACAATAATATGACCACCAGAAGGCCATTTTTAACAACAATATGGACACCAGCAGGCCATTTTTGACAACAATATGACCATCAGCAGGCCATTTCTGACAACAATATGGCCATCAGCAGGCCATTTTTGACAACAATATGGCCACCAGCAAGCAATTTTTGACAACAATATGGACATCAGCAGGCAATTTTTGACAACAATATGGACACCAGCAGGCCATTTGTGACAATATGGACACCAGCAGGCCATTTTTGACAACAATATGGACACCAGAAGGCCATTTTTGACAACAATATGGCCATCAGCAGGCAATTTTTGACAACAATATGGCCATCAGCAGGCAATTTCTGACAACAATATGGCCACCATCAGGCCATTTTTGACAACAATATGGCCACCATCAGGTCATTTTTGACAACAATATGGCCACCAGAAGGCCATTTTTGACA